TAGCCACACTAATTAAAAGCATCTGAGCATCACATGTATCAGTATCCCTGGGCTGAAAAAACGGTGGCAAGGCACTTTGAACTAAAGCGAATTCAAAGAGTTTTCGTTCAAAGCCTCCCGCCGCTATTTTTCAGTACGGGGACACTGATAAATGTGATGCTGGAGGCTGCTGGAGCATGTTAATTTCTGCACTCCAGCAGACTCCATTAATCAAGTCTGCTCCAATGCACTGGATTTACAGCATGTCAGAGCAGCCTCCCTGCACATGTATAGAGCCCTCCATTGTGAGGTACTAGAAAAATGCACATTAGCTAAAGAGCACCATTTTTTGTGACATTTTAATGCGCAAAAAAATAGGCTAATGCACATTAAAGCATTCACTCACTGTGTCCTAAAGTTTAAGACTGCCAGGAAATATAAACATGCTAACAATAAAACTTTTCAAAAATATTATGCATATGAAATTCTAATTATGAATTTCAAGTATGACTTTTAGTACTATTTGCAAAAGTGACAATGCCATAAAATAGAATGCTTACTGGGCACACCTAGATGCGCAATTAATGTGACTGAATAGACTCTGGTGTAATTTGAGCCAGAGTAAACCAATCCTGATGTCACCATGTATACATACGTTTAAAAACAGTAATTTACTTTGCCGTCGGATAGTACCTGTGTCTGATGGGACTATCCGACGGCACTGTAAATTAGTCTACACTGGCGCAATTGCCGTGCACTTGTAAACGGCAACACTTTACTACACAGTAAATTAGTCTACTGTGCAGTAAAGTATGAGTGTAGACATGCCCAATGAGTATGTAAACAGGTGGAATAAATTACCATGTCATTGCAGTACCCATACCAGATACTACATTTTAATAGCTTTGGTTTTCAGTTTTGATGGATTTTTTTGATCCTACCTGAAATACTTAACTAGAATTACACACAGGTACTATTTTAAACCTTATTGTTAGTAGCATGCTAGTATGCCATGTCACCTGGCATTCTAGACTCTCATAATAATGGGCAAAATTAATATGGCAGTTTCTACTGGCTGAAGATTTGTTACAAATGTAATTTAGGATCAGTTAATTATTCATTAAAACTTTTTGCTTTTACAAATATCAGTGGCAGCAGCAGATGCTGGAAACCTCATAGAAAGCACTTAATCTCTCTCAGGATCAGGCCAGAGACAAACATAAAACTGAGATATACTCACTTCAGTCTTGGGCAGTTTAGACCAAGTGCTGTGAGAGAAGCATCTGTAAGGTTTGTACAACCAGAAACACAGAGTGACTGAAGTCTGTGGCATCCTCTACAGATTTTTACAATGCCTTCATCTGAAATTTGCTGGAACAAATAAAAACAATGGAGTTTATCTTGCCATCAAGTAATTTGTCTCAGAATAAAAACAGAACTACACATTAGCACACAGGCAGATCAACACTATGTAACCATAAAAAGTTATCAATCCCTATCCACGAAATATCAGCATACAATCATATGCCAGATGATCCATTTGTTTTTTGAAGATAATCAACACCTGTTATTCTTATTCACACAACCTTTGCACCAATTTTAGTTATTATTTTAAAGCAATGTAAAGGTGGGTTTTCTACAGGTCCTACAATGACCTAATGAAGTACTTTTTTTACTTCATGTCTTGCTTCTCACATGTTCAGCTAATTGAGACACTAGCATTTGAAATGGAGAACAAGTGAAGAACATATGCCTAATACCAGACAAAGAGGGCCAAAAACTAAGAGGTAGGAGAGATCATCACCTGTCTTCCATTATATAGAAGATCACAAACTACTCAGAAGACCTAAAGCAGAACCAGGGCAAAACAGTCTTTTGCATTAACTTTTCTTACCTATTCTGCTTTAGGCACTCCAATAGAATTAACTTGTAAAACGTTGCATGTATTATTCATTACCTGTTGCTTCATTTAAAAATTCATTTTCTGAAATATGCATCACTGAAAACAGCTCCATATCACTTGCACACAATGCAAGCCAATTTCAGGTTATTACAAAGGATCATAATAGCTTTATGAACAAGGCAAACTGTGTCAGAGTTTTATAAAAAATTTTTTTTCGATGTTGTTGACTTAATGGCTCTCCTATGGTGATACCCCTTTATTTTTGTACAAATTCATTCTTTCTTGACTATCATTTTTATGGGATAGCAGTAGTGATTTCTGCTGCCTTTCGAGTTCCCTGAATTTACTGCTTTTGAAAGCCAATCATATTACCATTTATAATGTTCTTATATTAACCACTAACACAGCTATTACTTTGGGTACTGTTTTACCTACCTTGAACATTTCTTATTTTTGTTTCTGAGAGAAAATATTATCATTTTACAGCAAGAATAACAAGCAGCTGGTTTAATTTGAACCAGTACTGATGGATGGAAACAAAATAATTTGTATTCAAAGCCATTTCATTCTGAAATTCTTTAAAAAACTTAGAATGCCTAGACCCTTTTCATGAAAGAACTGCAGTCACAAAGATGGCTGCAGTCCACAAATTATATAATTCTGAATGTAACATCTTTGCAATCTAATCTACATAGTCAATGCCTGCTCACTTTTAGCCACAGAAGTTAATGTGGCATTTTCAAGCATCACAAAGATGAACCTGTAAATACTGCAAGGGATTGGTCACATCCCTGTGTTCTGCGAACTCTATAATGCTAGCCTTCACACCATGTAGCAGGTAGGCTGCTCCTGCATCTCTATAACTTCTGGAGACATGCTTCAAAGCAGTAATAATTGGGCCAGATTTCCAATGCAGTGCTACACAATCAGTAGAATGTCCCCCAATAGTATGTGACCATAGACAAGTATTTTAAATATGATTTGCAGAATTCAGAATGAAAAACTTTGCATTTTATTTGTATTAGTAACTACTTAATGACTAATATTACGGATAAAGAAAATCTTTATTAAAGCTTCTATACCCATGCCCCTTCAATTACAATGTTAATTAATTAATTAAGAGTTCACATACACTTGCATCAGACCCATGAAATCCTCCAGGAAAATCAGAAAAGGCCAAAACCTATGTTTTCTGATATTAAAGAAAAGGAAAAAAAACTACTTGAAGTGGGTGGAATTAGACCTGTATACATAAAATTAAAACAAAAACAGGACTAGATGACCTCTGAAGGTCAAGGCAGGATTGTTCCTGTTTAAACCATCTCAGGTAAATGTTTGCCTAACAACATGTTCATAAAAGCTTTCAATAATAGAGATTCTACAACCTCAGCATGGTTCCTAGTTTGGCAAAAAATTTCACAAGTTCCACCCCACACCTCCTTTTCTAACATTAGCGGGGATGAAAAAAAAGCATGGTTTGTCAGGCTTCTTTAAAATAGTTAGAGGTTAGAAACATGTTGAAATTCTAATGGAAAAGCTCTCACTGTCTTATCCTAGACATTTGTCTCATGGAATACATAATATGATCTTGCATATTATTTGTAACTTCTGCAAAACCTCTAACATAGCTTCCAATGTTTGAAGTGCCCCAAAATGTTCAAACCTTTTGCATCTAGTAAGTTCAGAATTTTCCATCCAACTTTAATAAAAATGGTCCTATGCCATAGTACTCATTGAGGAATAATGTCTAAAACAGATTTAAAGGTTTCAGACCACGTTATTTTTTATTATATGTTCTGGCAATAAAGCAGCAGAAACTTTTCCAAAAAGAAAAAAATATGTTTTTCATAATTGGCTGATCCACTGCATTAGAAAATGAATCTCAAAGCTTTTTAATGGTTAAGGATAGATAAAAAAAAGATTTTTAAAAAAGATATTTCAGTCAAAAAGAGTCCTGTTTTTCCCCCTCCTCCCCCCCAACATACCAAATAAAAATTAGAATGGGAACTTGATCAGGTTCGTAATACAATACAATAAAATAAAAAGTTTCAGTGTAGTGTTTGCAGAATTAAATTCATGCTGTCAATTTCCAAACATACCTAGTTCAACAATATATTTCTATATGATATTAAAAAGTATGCTTCTCTCCCACTCTCAGGGCTGTCTTAACATAATTCACCCCAGCCACAATGCTACCACTTACTCACTTTTTATTAATCAATCATCCAGCACACAAAAATATACTAGGCAAGCCAGAAGCATAGTCCCTGCCTAAAGAACTTACAAATAGTAATAAACCACAGACAACAAGACTAGAGGGTACAGGAGGTTAGGTACAGGAATATAACAGCAGTACAATGGCATGGTTCATTTAGTCAATTGTACACATGCATGACAGCTAATTACTTTTAATCACTACTTAAAACCTAAAGCTATCAACAACTAAAAATAATGGAAAACTGAACATTGTAACTCCACTTTCAGCTGTGGAAACAGTCAGCTGATTTTAGGACCTTGCAGCATACTCCATGATCCACTAGGCTACTTGGTCATCGCTATCTGAAACAATGCTGCAATCTGTACAGATGGACTGTCCTAAATATTCAATGTGTAATAGATGCATTCGATAGCTGAAAAGCATTTTTAGAGACATTTAGTAGGAGTGTATGAAACAGGCCATATTCAGTTCAGATTCGGATTCAGCCCGAATCGGGGACAGTGATTCGAGTCGTTGAATCGTATCACTGGCCCCGATTCAATTCGGTCATAGACACAGCTTTAAATGTTTTTTCTACGTACCTCGAGGTACCAGGCACGGCTTGTGAACGCTGCGATGCTGGGGCGGATGGAGCGTCCCACAGGAGCATGGGGGGGTGCTCAGTGGTGAACCTGGAAGTGGACCGTAAGTACTTCTGGCCCACTTCTGGGTCCACCAGGGAGCGTGCTGGGGGGCCCCCACTCAGCGATCAGCCACAGGGGGACCCTGGGTGCCGCCCTAGACCCAGGAGGCACCAGTCGCTGAGGCGGGGGCTGCGGCGGGCCTGCACACTCCCTGGCAGACCTGGAAGTGGACTGAAAGTGCTTCTGGTCCACTTCTGGGTCTGCTGCCGAGCGCGCTGGGGACCCCCCCACACTCCTGTGGGACGCTACATCCTCCCCAGCATCTCAGCATTCACAAGCTGCCTGGTACCCCGAGGTATGTAGAAAAAGCATTTAAAACTGTGTCTATATGCCGAATCTTTCCGAATTTCTCCGAATCTCTTCGGAGGGTTCCAATTTGATTCGGAGAGATTAAAAGGGTCTCCTGATTCAGTTTGGATTCAGAGATTTGGCCACCAAAAAAGGCCGAATCTCTGCTGAATCGAATCAGGGACTGAAGCTTCACACCGCCCTAATATTTAGATCCAGTGTGCACAGAAGTAGAAAATACTCTTTCAAACTTCATATACTTACTGTACATGACTGCAAATTCAAGATTAGAAGCTCGTGACAGTGACTCTGAATATGTTTCAGTGCTTCATCTTCTAACTGTGCAAATGAAGAATAAAATAGGAAAGAAGGGAGAAATAAATTAAAAGCAAAGCATTGCTATCAGCATGCACATCTTGTAATAGTCAAAACCAAAATGACTATAACACCAAAAACAGCATTTTCTAAAGTCATGGAGGATTTCAAAATACCAGAACATACATGTTTTACATCAGAAGGATCATCCAAGCAGTTATATACCTGTGTGCAACCTCTAAGAAATAGTGCTTTTAGTCCATTACACCCTTTCACGAGTGCTTCAATACCATCCTTCGTAATCTGATCGCACCAGGAAAGATTCAAATGTTCCAGATTTCTGCAACCCTCACTGGGAGAATTAAAAAAAATACATATAGTTAAATCCAACCTTAGAATAGTCATAACAGTGGGAAACCCAAATTAAACACACTGTTAGAAACTCATGATAGCAAGCTAACTGTGCCAGGACTTCACAGAAAAATCATGGGAAAAGACCACACACAAGCACCATGCATTATATCCTACAAATGCTTAATAGAGTGCATAGCTCAGACTGATACACATTATTAAGGTACAAGACATACTGAAAAAAATTATTGCATTAAATTGTGAATAGCTCCTTTAATACATAACACAAACAATTAATATCCTTACCTTAAACCTTTCAAAGAACTGTTTGTGATGGCTACACACGATGTCAGATCCAGATGTTTCAGCTTGGAACAGAATTTACTAAGGCTGTAACACGTGCTGCAAAACAGCAGACACACTAAAAATATCTTTGTCCACTTTTTTCAAATGGCATTATCATGTGAAAAAGCCTTTTACCTACCTGTCAGTAATTTTTGTACATCCATTTAGATTTAAATGTTCTATGTTCCTACAGTTCTGTGCAAAGGTCCTAAAACAGTAAGGTAAATTTAGACAATTAACACATTTTATACAGAGCAAATTCCAATTCAGTCACTAGAGTGTGCTCTCATCTCCACCTTTTCCATCTAATATTCAGAAACAGCCATTTTTTTTTAATATGTGGGCCACATGAATTATAAAGTAAATTTCAGACAACTCTGCCAAGGGCTGATCCTGTCTTTTGCTAATTTAAGTTTCTACCTCTGTCAATTGCAAAAACTACATAGCTCATATTTTTCTCAAACTTTAAGTCATTGATTTACTTCTACCATAATCCAGATCTACCTGCTTCATTAACACAAACCATCAATGGAAACAGAAATAAACAAATAATGACAATGTTTATTAATTACTATTACTGAACCCTTTAATGGGCCACAATTAGGAACCCATCCTTCCTAAGTCAAAGAGAATTGCAGGTGTCCAATATGTTATAAAACTGGGTCCCAAAGTAACTACTAATGTAAATCCCTCATTCATGATCTACCTGCAGTTCTACCATCAGCTGGGTATAAAATGCAAATATGATTGCTGTCATTATCCTGTTAAAAAAAATCTATATATATTGTCATTCTGCTACCCAAAAAAAGAGAGGCTGCAGAGATGAAAAGAAAGTTAGCAGCTGCACTGCATTTCAGAACAAAGTTTTATGTCCATGTTTCCTCCAACTGTATGACTTTTACAGGCACAGTTGGAGGAAACACTCAAACGCAGTTTTGTCTGGAATTCTGCCTTGGTTAACATATTCTACAATACACTCAGTTGGTAACAACTTCCTGGCTCTCCAGTACAGACTGAAAACAATGGGGGGAAAATAAAAGAAACAGCTAACATTTATATAGGTGATAGTTTCCACTTGACTCCTCCAAATGTCTATTCCAAAATTCATGTCCAGCCTTTACTGCAATAAAACCCACATTTGGGGAAAACAGTGCTTGTTAGATTGCTTGGAAAATTACTGCATTTGCCATCATCATGTTAACAGTGTCTTTTAACTTTGTGTTACTTCCAATTTACATCATTTACTTGTATGACTTCATGAATATTTTATATATCTTTCTAGCTAATTTATCTGTAATTTCATGTACCATTCTGTAATGAGAATCAAAACCAGCTGAAAAAGCAATATCAACACTGGCAACTTGTTATAACAGAAAAAGACAAGAAGGGAAAGGCTGTAAAAACCTATTTACTAAACAAACACCAAGTTGCTAAAGAATAAGAAACCAGCCTCATGATTTAAAAAGGATCAAACATCCTTGGGGAAGTGGGCCCCAACTTCATTTAGGAACATCTAATTTCTTTACCCTAAACCTCACTGTTCATATTATAATGACAAGGATATAGATACATGGCTAAAGGACTTTGAGCAATTTATTCCAAACAGATGATAGTCTGACTGGAAGAGGAACAAAGAGAAAGAAAATAAAGGGATAAATACTTATTGGAAATGTTTTATTAAACTTAAAATTTACACTGGTATTAAAAATAGGAAAAAAAGTTTAAAATTCTCCATGAATTCATGTGAAACACTAATGTTAGCTGGCTTGATTTTTTTTTCTCTTTTTATCCTATAACAAACTTTTCTTTTAGTGACCATGACTTCCTCTTAAATGATGTTGCTTTGTTCCTTCATGGTCATTTTTCAATATTTAATATTTTGACCCAACACATTTGAAAAGGAAATGTGACTATGTTAGATCCATTTGAACTTTAAAATGTTGATTATTTGGCTGGTGGTTTAGTTGTTTTGTTTTTTGTTTTTTTGTTTTATAACGGAAAATGAAACCATACTGGCAACAGTTTGTTGATTTTTAACCAATCAAGAAAAACTGCTTGAATTTCCATATGGTTCAATTATTGAAAAAGAATACAAATTTTCTAGTGAAAAAACATGACATCCTGTAAAACTGAAAATCTGCAAAATCCTAGATCATCTCTTATGAGACTCTACTGACCCAAAGAATGCCACAGTGAATGGTAAGAAAGATCAAATCAAAGTATGTGTATACATCTATATATAAATTATGTCCAAAAATACTATTTCAGAAAAACATTGCAAAGTCAGGCACCCATAAATTGGTTAATTTCAGAATTATAGCAACCTGTGCAACCTTATATCAGACACTTTGGCATGTACATTATGATGTAAGTTTTAATTAGATGTATACAGACTATATTTACTATAAGACCCCCTTGTCTCATATAGCGAATGGGTAGTTATTCAGTGTTCTCATCATTCTCCATGTTTAAAGGATAGTCTGGAACTTACTTAATTCACACCACATACAAACCATTAATTTCCATGTTGGCCTTTTCATAGTGCTCACCATAACATCGGACTATTCCACAATTACTAATAAATGTGTCTGCAAAACATCATTGTGAAATTAGATGGTGTTGTTATCCCTATTTTAGAGCTAGGGAACTGACACTAAGATATTAAGGTCAAATTAATTAAGTGTTCACCCAATTTTGCCCAATCTGCAATACCCAAGGCCTTATTTTCCAGAGTATAAAGTACTATAAAAATGCTAAGTATAATTACAATCTACTTTAGTGCTCAGAATGTCCATAAAGCTAACCCCAGTTGTCTCGCATTCAAATTCCAGAAAGTGAAGAATTCAATTAATGGCCCATTATGAAAATGTAACTAAATCCACAAAAAGACACAAAACTGCAATCCTCAGCCCCTTTAGACCCCATCTCTCTGTGTCCCTCCTGCTTCCATCCACTTTCCATCAACATTCCTCTGCTCCGCTCCTATATTCGCTCCCCAACAGTCCAAGTGTGTGCCATCTGTCCTTTTAGAGTTTGTACTTGCTCCCCCACTGTTTCATATCTCGAATTTCTTGATCTTATCTTACACCTAACCCCATGCCCTCTCATTCCTCCCTTGTGCTCCAATCCCAACCAACCCAGCCCCAACTAAACATGGCTCCTGCCTCTCTACTCTTCTATCCACAAGCCCTGCATCTATCCAAAAACCTTCTTTTTCTGTCCTTTCCCTGTTTATTCCTCTTCCTCCTCCCTCAGCTTTCCTCTCTTTGCCCCTTTTCTAACCCACCCTTTCCAGTCTCCCGTATCCACCCTTTTCATCCACCCAAGCCTACTCAACCATCTCCAACTTCATTGTCCTTTTGCTCTTGCTCCTGAAATCTCCTCTTCTTCCTTCTCCATCAGTTTTTGTTTTTTCACCTTTCTCCATTAAATTGTGCTATGTCCTTCCACTCCTGCCTGGGTACATCAGAAGGAGCACTTAGAACAAAGTTCCTCTGTCTGCCACCAAAGTGGCTCCCAGCAGCCAAAAGTTAAGTGCAAATAAAGGCCCCTCCTCCGCTCCAGCATCCCCAGGAAACAGAATGTGGAGTGTAGTCCAGCTGCTGCATAATACCTGTGATAGGATACACCACACTCAGGCGCAGAAAGATTCTCTAGAGGATTTAACTGCTAGTTTCTAACAAATCTCTACTGACTATATATAAAGTTCATTTATAACTTGGCCTAATTTGAGCAAATTTTTGTATCTATAACACATGGGTGACACTTTTATCTGATTCAACTCCCTGCTACCAAGCATAGAGATGCTGGAGCTTCCTCAGTAAAATAAACACAATATTTTTTTCCAGAGGCAGCTGAAATCATTTTACCTGAAAATTTCAATAACAATTTCAGCACAAAGCAGATATTCAGCATGGGCAGTTTCAGCCTAAATGGTCAAAGTTTGGCAAAATTATACGCAGCTAAATGCAGGGGATTTTTAATTGGAACTGTGGACCAACCTCACATATGAAGAGTCATCAGTACCCATTCTGCCTACGTTAGGAGGAAATTCCTGAAAAGAGATTACTGGATAGAGTCCAAAGAACTAATTCAACAGCAGTAGTCATGATTCAAAATGATTAGGGAGCTTCTACATGAAACACTGACTGAGCAGTAGCCCAATACAACTGTGCAGTAGCATTGTGTGGCAAAAACAGTGATGTGAGGCTACTGCACAGTAGTATTAGGCTACTGCACAGTAGCATGACAAAAAAGGCATTTGCTGTTGCTACCACACAGTAACTTGGATTGCTGCACATTTTTAGTACTTGTTTATACTAGTATAAACCCTAACTTTATACAAGTACTAAATGAATGCACACTGTGCAGTAGCGTCTTGTGTAGACATGGTCTTAGGGTAGAATTTTATTTCCTTTTGCACATCTAAGTGGCATTTTTCTAGCCATCTATTTGGCTATTTTTGATCACTGCTTTATGCTGTGGACATGTTAGCCTGAATGTGTAAATTATGCATGTACACAGCTACATGTGGACATACGTAGCTGAGTTTCTGTGCAAGTTCCAGTAAAAATTATGCTGGGGGTATCAGATTTTAGCTCCAGCTGCTGATCAAGGAACTTGCCTGGGAAGTGGGAAACCCCACTTGCCCAAAGGGGTTCTGAACCTGCATCTCTCTCGGTTCCCAGCACAGTGCCCTAACCATCACAGTTCAGTCATTAATCACAATCTGGTGCTCCTTTTGTGGTTGAGCCATTGCTCCTTGGATTTAATAGTCATTGGATAAAATGGATGGAAAGCAGTAAAGTCAGGAAGTTTCTGCCCCATTGGGAACAAGGGTCTAGGTTAGAAATCAAGGACTTCTCCCTGCCCTGGTCACTATTCAAACACATTGAATATTTACATCAGAAAGTTATTTTGTAAACATGCCAATTAGCTTGTCTAGAAAAATGTTATACTGTCAATCATTAAAAATATTTTAAAAAGCAACAGTAAAACAATAGCAGAGAGAATGAAATAGACAAAGGACACTGTTCTTATTTTTTAATTCCTTTTAAGAAAGAGATTTTAAGAAAATTTAATTTTAAGGAAATAATCTTACCAAGTCATTACTAGTTACATTTCTTGTTTCTTGCACGCTCTCTTGGTGGCTACTAGGGGTGCACCAATAGAGAATTTTTGGACCAATACCAATGGTTGATTTTTAACAAGCCATATCGGCTGATTCAATATACAGCCAGGCAGCATGGAGAGCAGCGTCTGGCCAGTAAGTCTGTTGTGGTGGAAGGGGAGGGGAGAGGGAAGGAGCGTGGTGGGGGCAGATCGAGGCTGCACAGCTGGGGTGGAGCATGGGATGGAGCTGTGACTCGTCTGTGGGGCATGGGGAGGAGGTGGCAGCTCCTGCTGCTTCATGCACCCTGGGACGGCATTTGTGTGCCCTCAAATCTGCGTGGGGCAGGGCAGGCTGCCACTGTGGACTGGGGCAGTGCCGGGCTTTTCCCGGTAGGGGAGTTGGGCCAGGCTGTGCTCGGGGTAGATGGTGACAGTGCTGGGACGGGGCTATGGGGGGGGCTGCAGCCAGCCCAAAATTCATTGTAGCCCTCCCAACCCCCCTCCCAGCACCGCTACTGCCTGCCCCAAGCTGCATGACCTCCCAGGGTGTGTGCAGCAGCGGGAGCCGCCCTCCCCTCTCCTGCACCTTCTGGACAAACCACGGATTCCCCACACCTGACCCCACCCCAACTGTGCAGTGCCTGCCTCTGTCCCAGACCCACTCCCTCCCTCACTGCCGGGGCCTTGATCTGGCCCCCACGCCCCTTCCCTTGCAATAGACTTAACAGGCGGACCCAGCTGTTCTCCATGCTGCTGGGCTGTGTTCCTGACCGCCTGTGCACTGCTCTGCAGCTGCACATGTGCGGGGCATTTATCAGTGGCATTATCAGCCACATCAGGCAAAAAAAGCCAACTGCTGATACTGTCAATTTTCCTTATATCAGTGCCGATCTGATATGGGACTGCTGTATCAGTGCACCTCTAGTGGATACATATGTGCAGATATTATGACACTAACTGAATCCTGCTTTTAGAAAGAAGATATATGCAAAAATGTTTTGATGAACTTTCCAAGTTTTTACTTACTTCAAGGACGAGTCTCCAACACCAAGGCAGCCTCTCAAGCTAAGTTGTCTGAGGAACCCACCACACCTTTTGGATATATTTTCTACCACACGACCCTTAAATTAGATATTAAGAAAGCTTTAATATATTTATTTTGACACATCTAATACTCTCAACAAATACAAAACTTAAGTGCTGAGCCCTGATCCCAGTCATTCCAGTCCAGAACAAAATTTCTAACTCTATTGAGAAATATACTTTCTTACTAAAGATGTGGATCCAATTCCCATTGAATTAAATGAGCGCACACCTACTAAAGTTTATGGGATATTGGACTGAACCTTTCAGCAAGATTAGAAAAAAGAAAACTACTGTTTATGGCTTAGCCTTACTGTGCCAGCAAAAAACTTAATGATAAAAGACTGCTGAAATAAAGTCATATAAATTTGGGTCCCAATCTTGCAAACATGGATGTACATTTGATGTCCCACTGAGTTCTCAGATATTTAGCAGTGGAACCAGACCTTACAGTTAGACATAAATTTAAGCCAAGTTCTCCCACTCTTCCCACACTAGCCCTTGGATACACATATATTTTATACATCACTCTGCGTTTCAAAACTTGCAGGCCTTAGCTCCAGGACACTATTTATTTATGTCTCACTACTGAATGGCATAAAATACATGCGAACTAAAAATAGCATTATTCTTAAAATGTACTTTAAAGTGAATTATGATACTATAAAACATCCCTTTTTCCTTCTCTGATTTTTTTGTGGGGAAAATAAACAACAAATTAAAAAAAACAGAAGTTTATATATCATTGACCATGATATCAGTTAAACATACACTAATTTTAAAAAGGCAATTGAAACCTTAATGTACTACAGAAACCAAATAATTACAACACTGGTCATGTAATTTAAAGGACTGAATACTTAAGTGAATAAGAGAAGCAAAAATTTAAAAAAACAGGTAATACTTTTAAAATTACAGATCATATAACAAAGATTTTGTTTCTTCACTGTGTTGAATGCTTTCAATTGTTCTAAAGTGAAAGAAACAAATATATGATTCCCCAAATACACAAGTTTTTTGTAATTCACTACTTGTAGAAACAGCTCACGTTATGTGTATACATTTTGTTCTATTAGGATGCTTCAGTTCTTGCCCCTCAGTAACAGACTGTTTACATTAATTATGAATGAATTAGAGCAAATGAAAGATTAACCAAACGAAAACTGATAATGTTTCCTGAGGTGATATGAGTTTTTAAAGCTGGCTCAGCTCTGATTTATCAGCACTGCTTTTTAACAAAGTGCTTCTAAGAAAAGTACTTCTAGAAATTTCTAAAAAAAGAAATCACCACAATAAACTAACTATAATATATCTTCAACATACACAAACAAATGAAAAAAACCCCTAAATGCCAAATAAAGTCTGTATTTGTTAAATACATATATGGACATACAATGCATTAAATTTATATTTTCCAAACCTATTTACTGTATATTCAAAAGTGACCTGCTAAACGGCTTAAGTGTGACCATCAGGTTGGAAACCTATAATGGGCAGCACTAGCCTACAGTGATGGACAGCCCTGGTGCTCTTCACAGACAAGGATAAAGTAAAGTTATAGGCTTCTAACTAAAAACAGTTTCAGGATGAAAGTTACATTGCATCAGTCACTGTCTCCCCATTGAAAATATCTTCCAAACCAAAGGGAAGCTTGATGTACCATATATCTTTTTAAAAATAAGATTACATTTTCAATTAGTGGCCAATAATTGGCATACATTATGGATCTATAAATTCAATAGTCACATGACTTCTAAACATGGTTAGCCATCTGTAACATTCTACGGGTCAAACTTTCAAAACAAACTTTAAAGACTCACCTGAAATTGTACCTATGAATATTCATCTGTACATGTAAAAAAAAGTTTGCCTGCATAAATCTGTCATTCACGATAGATGCCAACACAAAAACACTTAGACAAACAAACAACCAGTCTTAAAGAATTAATTTAGGCTCCTTTGAAAGAGTCTGTTGCTCACTTAAAGGCAATCTGCAAAATATATTTAAAAACATACAGGCACTTTCAGCATTACGTATTGAGTGCTCTGAAAGTAGGAGGTATATGTCAGAAAATTAGTACTGTAACTTAAATTTGTCTTTTTCTTGGCACTGTTTATGAAACTTGCAAAATACAAGTCCTTGTCCATTGTCAACTCATATTCAGTACCTCCCCTCACCATACACAGGAACCTCTGAAAAGTTTTGCATACATTTAAGGCAGTCCATTTTTCCAGATGCAGTATACAAGACCAATTTTTATGCATTAATTGTATTCTTTACCAAATTAGTGTTTAATATGAAGATTTCAATAAACAATGGTTCTTTCACCTTTATCATCGGACAAGCACTGTTTGATGTTGCATATGATGTCACCACTTATGACATAATGGGAAATAACAGTGAGTAAAAAATAATGAATAAACAAGACTGCAATTTGTGGCTCTTTAAAAACAATAATTCAAAATAATGCCATTTTGAGTTGGAAAGATATCCAGTGAGCTCTCTTCTTTTTTATCATTATGCCTATGTGAATGTCTGTATTTAATGGGACATTAAAATTATTTTGGTAAGGTTTTGTAGAGTGCTTAGAGCCTTAGATACATGTTGTAAATAAATAAATAAAAAGGTAAGTTGAGATATCTTATGTGCTCAAATTCAGCATATTGAACCAAACAACTTCTCTGGATCTTAGTAATAAAAGGATCACCTACACTAAAAAAATTAACTATATCATGAAACTGGGTTATTAGATTTTAGTGTGATGACACAATAGGAACTCAGTAAGGCCTTCTATGTTACCCCCAGCAGGGTCACATAGAAAAGATCCCAACTTCATCTTAGCCACATTCCCAAGCCATTCTACATATCTCAAAGGATCTGTATTACAACAGCAGCATGTGAAAACAATGATTATTTTGAAAGGCACAGTTCTAAAGTAATTATTAGGCAGACAAGGTTCGCTGGGTAAATCTGATATCTTTTATTAGACCAACTCAAATAGTTGGAAAAAAATCTTCTTTGCAAGCTTTTGGGTACAATTACCCTTAATTGTACTGAAAGCTTGCAAAGAATTTTTTTTCCAACTATCTGAGTTGGTCTAATAAAAGCTATCAGATTTACCCAAAGAACCTTGTCTGCCTATGTACTTAGACCAACACGGCTACAACCTACAGCCCTGAAAGCAATTATTAGTAATCCTCAAATGAGAAATGGAAGTGTTTTCAACATGTGTATGGGCAAATGAATAAGAAAAGCCATTAATGACTGCCAACCTGTACAAATATACTTAAAAGCTAGCAGACTATGGAATCTGGTCCCTCATATCAATACAGATCCTCATTATCACTAATATCTAATGTTGACTTTTTAAAGCACAAAGCAGTAGCTTCCAATTTAAATAACTAGGTAGTACTGAAAAAATTCCTAGACAATGAATTCCTAGACTTTTAAACTTCTGAACAATGTTTAACAAAATTTACCCATTAATCATCATATGGGTTAGGGACAGAAATTACACATAAACTGGCATAATTGATCAGAAGGCAGTTCAAATCTGTATCACAACAGAAGTTCAGTGCACATAAACTGCTTTCAAAATGGCTGAAACCGGTTTAAGATAAACCTGGATGGATGTAGTATCAGACTTAACTGATTTAGGTTAAATCAGTTTATTGAACTTCTGTCCCAAATCCCCTTCAGATTCAAGTGAACTCACAGTCCCCCAGCATCCCAGGATGCCTTGGCCCAAGCTGTCTGCTCCAGCCGAGCAAGGTGGCATGCTCTAGCCCCCACCAGCTTCTAGCCTGGGCCACTGCAGGCCTATGGCTACATTTCTGGAATCAAAAGTGAATGTCTGTTCACTTGCTTATCTATGCATCTCAGACTAACCTGCGAAGATTCAATCAATTCAGCCTTGGGCTTTTTGACTGTCTGTACTTAGCTATGTAATCTTTTCACATAGGATGGAAACTTAAACCTTGAAATAAGGAATTCAAAGGAGAAAGACACTACTTCCTTCTGGATTCCTAGCATCAGATTCACTAAATATACCTTACAGATTCAGGTAAGGTAAGGTAAAGTTATGCTTCCTAGCTTCTGAGTTTCTCCCTCAAAAAATTTTTTTAAAAAGTCACATGTTGTTTATTCGTTGGTATACTGGTCACTTATAACAAAGTCTTGTTTCGTGTCAAATACAATACTGCTCTAGTCCTCTTCTTATATATGGATAAAGATTTCATAGACATCTCCCTGAATTTTAGATTCAGCCAAGATTCAAATCTACGATATGGATTGGGAATCGACTGCTGACAAAAGTCATAATGAACTACAGGGCTATTTGTATTCTAGTCCATATCAGCAATAATAAAAGTTATTTACCAGTTGAGCAGCCTATAAGAACTGAAGTTGTCATTTAAACTCCCAGTTCTTAGTTAATGGTTGTCTATCCTACTTTCAACATAATATGGTACTCACAGGAGAGAAGCCTGAGACTGCACAGGGATAAAATTCAATTTAAAACTTAAAATAAACCCTTTCACATCCTAAAAGGGATTCTCAGAGTCGTAGAATTAAAGAGCCTCAGAGGGACAGTTTCATTCTCTATAAATACCTTTTCTGTGAACAGAAATCTTAAGTGTTCTATGCTGTCAGTCCCATACCTTTTTGTAAGTACCATATGTGCTTGAAATACTTCAAAATAAATTATCTGACATTTGGCTGAAGATCAAAACTCAGATACGAAACATAAAAACTTGAGTCAAACCCAGTCTTTGCTTTTTCTATTCACTCCTTCAGAGCATTAACTTATTGTATTTTAAAATTAAGGATGTGTATGTTATAAAAAAGATTAACAGAATAGTTAAAATCATTTATTTACCTTTAAGAAGAATGTTAGAAGGATAAACATACTACTAACCTCTATATCTGTCTGAAAGTTAAAAAGGTCTATTCTTTGCCAGTTACTTCCATCTAGAGCCAAGACATTCCATGCCTAAAAAAAACATATACATGTTTAATAAACCTTCTCAATCTAGGTACATAAATAACCTTTCCCCCTACCTCATCAACACTATCAGTGCGCTGAACTCTCAGTATTTTTATGAAATGAAAATGACTAGTAATTAGAAGTAAGTAGTTAAAACAAATTTTATACGCTAATCTTTTGAACCCTAGGATTACGTGTCTTCAGATTTTAAGGATCAAATTCTGTCTTAGATGTGCACACATATGCTGATTTACATTCGAATTATAAATATACTGTATCATACAAGAATACGAGCCTCAATTTTAGTAAATTTACTATTTAGTACATTATTCTGGTTAGAGCTGAGTACTTCAACATGTGGCAGCTGCTAAGGAAAGAACAAAAAAGCATGATGGGGAGCATCAATATTATTTTCAGTAGCACTCGACTTTTAGCTGGAGGGAATAACAGAACCTGGTGCTAATTTGTGAAATCTAATGAAATAACAGGCTGGGGTTTGCAGAGATGAGGAGTAAAACAGTTACAGTTAACATTTCATCTTTCTCTGAAAAAAGATGTAAAATTAAAAATTCTGCCTTTGCAAACAACACAAAAGGGACGTTCAGTAATATAATTCAGCATATGAATACTGTTGTATATATTTGTACATTTGTACACTTTTTCATGTAAAAATAAAACATTTTTCAATCAGGCAAAATTAAGACTAGTTGAACATAAATATGTATTGACATGCTTTTTCTATCATCCTCTTTTGTGTGCCCTTGACTCTACTACTAGTAGATCTCAACACCTTCATTATTTGGCACACAAATGATGCATACGCTCCTCAAACACACGTTGCACATTAACAAAAGGTACAAGGAATTTTAAGAAAAAAAAAAAAATCTGAAAAATGGTGTAATACAGCCACAAGCTTTAAAAACAAGTGCCATTATGCCAAAAAAGGCTTAATCCTTTCTGCAGAAACACAGCATGTACTGTGACATTTCCTGTCCTGCCCCCCTTCCTTTCCCTTTCCCCCCTTTTAGATACTTTAGTAATTAATTTTGCATATCTGAAGGCAGAATTGGGCCCATAGTTTCTGATCCATTGTTCATTAAAGTCAATAGAAATATTTCCTTTACTGATCTCTAAGGCCCTCATCTGCAGTCTACTGTTTACTGATAATTAATTAAATAGTTCTTTTCAATGCACAAATGTCTAAACTAAAGTGAATACTGTACCTTGGAAACTTGTGCACATCGGCATAAAGTAACTATATCCAAGAAGGAAAATATTCTAGGAAGAAAAGAAAAATTATTGCATTATGTTGAAGTTTTATTGCTAATCCAGTCCAATATATAGGTTCACTGTTTTATAATCATATGAAAATAATTCAAGGTACATGAGACATTAAATTTAACTTAACTATACTAGAAATGTGTTGTGTAGCCTGATAACATAACTACATATTGACTAAACGGACCCATTTCTGTGGTTGGATCCCTAGTTGTCATAGCTCCAGTACAGCAAAACCAGTGTAGTTCTGCTAGCTTGGATGGATGCAGAGGGCTGAATTTTGGCTTTTTCGTACACAGTGTTAGAAAAATGAATTCCAAGCAAGTATCACCAGTAGTCAATTTCAAAATGATTTTCAGCATGAGAAAGTAGTTCATATATATTTAATGATGTAATAATCTGTTAATAAGTACCACCAAAAATACAGACAAAAACAAAACAGAATTCTTAGTTTAGAGAACAATGATTAGGATACTTATAATCTAAACACCACTATAAGAAAAAACAGTCTAGATTTCTAATTGATTACAGACATTGCTTCTAAGTACTATACAACTTATTTTTTTAACTCTACAGGAAATAAAGTGACACAGACATTCAGTATTTGGCATCACTGATCTATCTAATCATGATACCATTCCTCTAAGCCTGCCTACCAAAACTACTGAATTCTGCACGCATTTTCCAAATATCAGTGAAGCTGGCTTGAGGCAGAGGTGTGTTCTCAGGGGAGGAAAGCATATTACTTTAAGCTTAAAATGCAGATTCCAATCCAGAAGTATTTTTAGTATATATTTTATGCTCTACTTTATACCACACTTACTAGTAACTCTCGGTATAATGGAGAGATGTCATTGTAAATCAGTGATAAATTAGCTTCTCACCAAAAAAAATCAACATTTGTGGATAATCAGCAACATGACTATCTTAAAACATCTTTGTGCTAAAATGATATTGAGGAGCAAATAAAGCTGATGAAGAGATGTTAATTTTTCATATCTAAATTTTTGAGCAACACTCTCTAGGGATCTTAGGGTGCATCCACATGAGATGCTAACTGCACAGTACTGTGTAGGGCAAAAACTGTGCTAATACACTACTGCACAGTAGTATTAGGCGCAGGTAGCGTCACTAAAGCCATGCACCAGTACTACTGCACAGTAGCACCAGTACCTGTACACTGATTTAGTACTTGGTTATACAAGTACTAAACTTAATGTGCCATCACTACAGCACATTAATGAATGTGCAGACGCACCCTTAGAACTATAGGTGTCTAAATCCATATTTAGGTATCGAAAGAAGAGACCAGATTTTCATTTATGCTGAGCACCAATAGTAACCACGGAAGTGAACAAGAGCTACAAGTGCTAACTCCTCTGAAAATCACGCCTCTTAAATGGCCAACTTCAGACAACCCAATCTCAAATTGCTCATCTTTCCTGATATTCTATTACCACATATAAGCATTTTGGCTTAAATCCTATTTCTTTTTATGTGCTTATATGGCAGTTACTAGCACTTATGTACAGTTTGCAATTCAGCTCTGCACTCGCCTGTCCATGCCCACTAAGCAAGCAACAGTAGGACTGCACCACGAAATAGGATTGCCAGCTAACTTCCAAAGTTTTAGGCTCAGCAACAACGCAACCTGGAGCAGGGAGCCCTCTTACCCTAGTGGTTAGGGCAGGAGCTGAACATCTATGTTCTAGGTCTCCTTTATCCAGTGTGGATTTGAACCTACATTTTTTTGCATCACAGAAAATTCTTCTAAACAGCAAGCCATAGTCCAAGCTTTATACAGACCCTTCTACAGCCCTCCTTTTGAAGTTGGCCCTGGACAAGGGAGGCATACAGGACCAAGAGAAATAAACTAAGCCAGTATATGGCTCAGTGCGCCATGGTTGGAGCAGTCTGTTAGAAAATTCACATTTATTTTTGGGTAATAAGTACCTAGAATTCAGGTCTCCTACTTTGTAGGCAAGTGCCCTATCTGCTGGGCTAAGAGGCTAAAACACAGAAGGACTCCTCTTTTTCCTCCATCATACTTCTGAAAAAGTGTGTGTGCAGGGCAATTCTATTCCACCAGAGCAAACGGAATTCCAAACTGCATGCTAAGTGCCAAAAACTGCAATTATGCAGCTGCATACATGTTACCTAGGCACACAAAAACACACAATTTCAAATTAAATCCACTGACCATGTAACCTCCACAGAAGAGTGCGTGTCTTTATAACACATACACTGCATGTTATAATGTAAACAATTTTACAACATTTATTTCATTATTTTAACATCTACTCAAAGAGTTTTTTCAATAAGAAAATAAAACTTTCTAATATAATTAAGTACATTCAGGTCTTCAATAGACATCATATTAAAACCAGAAATTCTTTTAATAGGAATACTTATTGAGGATCCAAATGAACCACTTTCCAATCCTATCATTCTTCCCCCAAATGACCAAAACAATGAGCCTTGCAATAAGACAGGAAAGAATTCCTCAGTTTTGTATCTCCTGTACTAACACCATTTGAATCAAGTTGAAAAGTTCTGTCAGATTTACAGATGGTGATATACAAAACAGTTATCCAAATTATTTCAGGAAATTTGACTTCACAGCTTTTCAAGAATGAAGGGCTGTGACATACCATTTGAGGACAGATCAGTCCTAAATAGAGAGGAAGACCAGTATTTGGAAGTTCATATTCATAATATACTTTACTGTAAAAAAGAGAGAGAGAGAAAAGAAATGATACAGGGATCTAGGAAGATGAGAAAAGAGTATCTGTACCCCATTACTTTGTGTTTTTTTAGCTATTGGTTCTAATGTTCTACTGTTTGGTGTCAGAATATATGATCTTGTTCTTTTGCATATAATATACCCCTTCCCAGAATATGGGGCTGGGGGCTTGGGAGCCAGGGGCCAGGGCTGAGGACTTCAGGGCTGGGCACCAGAGTAGGTGGCCATGCACCGGGATTGGGGGCTGTGTCAGCTCCAACCCCTCCAACATCGTGGCCTGGTCTGATCCAGCTGCACTGAGGGCCATACAATGGGACCATACCTGGCTTCAACAGGGCAGGGGTTGACTACACCAGCCCTGGGGGCCATGCACCAGGGCTCTATCCAGCCATGGCAGCACTGTGGGCCATGTGACAGGGCCTGATCCATAAAACAGGGCCAGGGGCTGCAATCCAGCCAGGGCAAGGACCCAGACTCAGCCCACTGGAACCAACACAACACGTGGATCTGGAACCAGTGCATACAGTTCACCTTTAAGCCAATCCTGTGTGCCAGCCCAATCTGATGCATTTTTGGGGAGGAGGACTTCCAGTGGAAAGGGAGTCCAAGATGAGTGGTCACTCCATAAGGATGTGATCCTAAAAGCACAAGGAAAGTCCATTCCAGCCCACAGGAAAGGTAGTAGGAGAGGTTTCTGAAGATTGGAAGAGGGCCAATGTGGTGCCTATCTTCAAGAAAGGAAGTAAGGAAGACTCAGGGAACTACAGGCCAATCAGTTTGACCTCAATTCCTGGAAAGATCTTGGAAAAAATTGTTAAAGAATCCATAAATAAAAGGCTAACACAAGTCATCATTCTGAGAGTTAGCCAACACGGCTTCATTACGGTTAGGTCATGCCTGACCAACCTCATTTTCTTCTATGACCAGGTGACGCATCACCTGGACAGGGGAGGAGAGGCTGATGTCATTTACTTGGATTTCAAAAAAGCCTTTGACTTGGTCTTTCATGATGTCCTCATGGTAAAACTGGGGAGCTGCAGCCTCAACAACCTTATGGTCTGATGGCTGGGGAACTGGCTCCGTGGTCAGACCCAGAGAGTGATATTCAATGGAACTGAGCCAACATGGCACATGGTGACCATTGGTGTCCCCGAGGGTTCAGTTCTCGGACCACTACCCTTTAATATATTCATAAACGATCTTGATTCAGGTGTCAGAAGCGGACTGGCTAAGTTCGGAGACAATACCAAATTATGGGGAAGTGCGGTCGCTCTAGAGGATAGGCTGGGGATTCAGGCCAACCTGGACAGGCTTGCTAGATGGGCGGATCAAAACCTGAGGACATTCAACATAGAGAAATGCAAGGTCCTCCACCTCAGGAGAAAGAACCCACATTATACTATAGGCTCAGCAGTGCTAATCAAAAGAGACTTGGGGGTCATGATTGACCACAAGATGAATGTGAGACACCAATGTGATGCTGCAGGCAGCAAAGCAAATAAAACCCTGGCTTGCATCTACCAATGCATCTCAAGCAAGACCCAAGATGTCATCCTCCTGTTATAGTTGACCTTGGTGAGGCCGCAGCTGGAGTACTGCATCCAGTTCTGGGCTCCACCCTTTAGAAAGGACATGAAGAAGCTTGAGAGAGTCTAGAGGAGAGCCACACGCACGATCAGAGGTCAAGAGAGCAGGCCTTATGAGGAAATGCTGAGAGGCACGGGACTCTTCAGTTTAGAGAAGCGTAGGCTTAGAGGGGGCTTGGTGGCAGCCTATAAGTACATCAGGGGTGTGCATCAGGACCTGGGAGAATGTCCGTTTACCAGGGCACCCCAAGTGAAGACAAGGTCCAACAGTTACACACTGCTGGAAGACTGCTTGAGAATGAATATAAGGAAAAACTTCTTTACTGTCCAAGTCTCCAAAGTCTGGAATAGACTCCCCCCAGAAGTAGTGCAAGCACCTACACTGGACACATTCAAGAAGCATTTGAATGATTATCTTGCTGGGGTCATCTGACCCCAACTGACTTCCTGCCCTTTGGGCAGGGGGCTGGACCCAATGATCTCATAAGGCCCCTTCCAGCCCTAATGTCTATGAAATCTTTAAAAATTAATTATGTAGTTATTTGCCTTCAATGTAACTGACTCAGGTAAAAGCCAATCAACAGAAACTTGATTATACTTTTGATGGTCTACAGAAAAGCTGTCGGAACTGATCCAAATTCCAATGAAGTCAATGGCATAGTCCTCAAACA